AGGACGCTTTTCTTGGTTGGAAAGGAAAATGCGCTTAATTTCAATTTAAATCTCACTTTATTCTGAGAGATTTATATTAATATTCGCATAGGGGGGCGCACAAATCGTTGGAGCATATAAACATAGTCTCTTTTTAGTTTATGCCTCATTCGCGGCAATTACGTGAGTTAAAGCGATTAGTTGAAGATATGAAGATCAAGATGTTGCGGCCTCTGGTATGGTCGCAGTCTCATTTCGATTTATAAGAATGGGTTGACCTCGTTGTCGCAAATTGGTCTTGTTGTCATGGCGACTTAGTAGAACCCACCTTGTCCGAAGTCGTCTGCCATAGTAGTTGTCATGATTCCCAGCATCAGACAGTGGACTTGGTACATTCTCAATGTGTTCGCCGGCATCGTAGTCGGCATCATCAGTGAGTTTTGCCATTCGCCGCACCAAGCTACGAACTCGTCATTCGTCTGCCATAGTAGTTGTCATGATTCCCAGCATCAGACAGTGGACTTGGTACATTCTCAAACGTTTCGTCGACTACCATAGTAGTTGTCATAATTCCCAGCATCAGACAGTGGACTTGGTACATTCTCAAACGTTTCGCCGGCATGCCGAATAGTTGTCATGATTCCCAGCATCTGACAGTGGACGTCGTCTGCTATAGTAGTTGTCATGATTCCCAGCATCTGACAGTGGACTTGATACATTCTCAAACGTTTCGCCGGCATCGCGAAGTCGTCTGCCGTAGTAGTTGTCTTGATTCCTAGCATCCGACCGTGGACTTGATACATTCTCAGACGTTTCGCCGGCCTCGTCAGTGAGTTTTGCCATTCTCCGCACCAGGCTACGAACTCGTCAAGGAGACAAGTAAAGTCAATGCCTCGACAACCGTTCTGCCAAAAACGGTTACACTATCACTTCTCTTTCTATCATGGCCTATCTATCAACTCTTTACCCTCTCATCCAACTCCCGCCCTATCACAACTTTTCACTTGTTTACATTCCACTCGTTAAAATGTGTGCCCTTTTGTGGCAAATTTAGTGTGGCCCCATCACATTTGCTAGTTACCCCGAACCCTCTCTTTCGATC